CCCTCCCCGCCGCCGCAGCGGGCCCGGAGGGCGAGGTCCGGTCGGACGGGAGGGGGTCCCGGGGCTCCGCGCAGCCCGGGAAGGCGGGGGCGGCCGGGAGGGCACAGTGCCTAGGGAAAGCAGTTCGCAGAAGAGGATGTGGGGCGGGGGGTCGTGGAAGAAGTGAAACTCGGGGGCCCTGGCACTTTTTTCCTGGAAAAAGAGAATTGCCAGAAGTCTCTCCAGGACCCGGGAAATAGTGAGGGGGTAGACTTCAGACCTGTGACTGGCAGCGGTCATTCCCCGCCCACCTGCCCCCCGCATAGCCTCTTTGCCCCTTACTACACCTTCCCCCAGGCCCTGACAATCCCAGGCCTCCTGGGTTGCAGCTTCACCTGCGGTGCCCGGGAGGGGGAACAGTCTTTCCTCAGTTTACCCTCAGCCTAAGCTTTGACTCCACAGAGCGCAGAGCACCGTGCCTGGGTCAGGATTTCCCACTGAGATGCTCCACCTTGATACATTAGGGTGGGTTTTACAGCAGGTGAGAAGCGTGACTGGGGGAGCTGGTAGGAAAGAAAGCCTTAAAGAGTCATGGAAACGCTGTGCTCATTTCCTCCAGGCCTCTGGCTGTATCACAGCTGGCCAGGCCCTTTTATGTCCTCTGATTCCACAGCAAGCTGTGAGGAGAGCAGGGCAGGGAGTGTTACAGTCTAGTACAGAAGGGATGTTGAGACCAGGAAGGAACATTGATTGCCCAAGAACACAGAGAGGGTCAGCAGCAGAGGAGCCAAGACCAGCACTAGAAGCTGTCCCTGCCCAGGGGCTAGGAATTACCCAAGGGGCCAATTGTGGATTCAACACCTTTGTACTTTTCCCTGGGTCCCGGACAGCTTGGTCCTGGTCCTGGTCTCCATGAGGGCAGAGTCCCATTTGTCTGGGGCACCTGTCAACCCTGGCTCAGTGTAACTTATTGTAACTTTGTAGGGTGATTACAGTGCAGAATGAGACCTCCCTAAACTGCCTCTGTCCCTAAAAGCCCCCAGGGCCTCAGCGGGCATGAACCTGGGCCATCACTGACCCTGGAGGTCCTGGCTGCTCCTGGGGCCCTGGGGTGGCTCACTTCCTCTCTGCTAGCACTGTTCCCTGGTAGCACCCTTCGTTCGGGATCAAGCCTGCAATCCCAGAGCACCCATTCTAGCCCTGTCCCCCTGTATTTCCCCGTTTGTTGGTCAGTATCAAAGGAAAAGTGTTACAGACCGAGCCTTGCAGAAAGTGTGATGTGCAGGGCCTCAGCCATGGGACAAAGTGAATGCAAGGTGTAGGGAGGAGGAGGAGTGCAAAGACTCCATTTTGGAAGAGGTGGTCAGGAGAAGAATGCAGGTTAATCTTGCCTTGCATCAACTTTCAGCAATTATTCCCGGTGGACAGGACCAGCAACTAAGTTAGCAGGGCCCTTTGTTCAAAAACTTAGTGTTCATGAATTTGGGCCTGAGGTTTTAACTTAAGTGGTAGAGCATTTGCTAGAATCAGCAACACTCTAACTTTTATCCCTAAAGTTTACTAAGAAAAAAACAAAAATTACTGAGATTTTCAACACTCCAGGAAGCTGAGGCAGGAAGATCACAAGTTCAAACCTGGCTGGGCATGGTGGTGCGTGGTAGTGCATGCCTGTCATCCCAGTGCTCAGGAGGATTACCACAAGTTTCAGACCAGGCTGGACTATGTAGTGAGACCCAGTCTCAAAAAACAAACAAAGTCTGGGGACATAGATTTACCAGCACAGCGTCTACCTGGCAGGTGCGAGGTCCTGAGTTTGATTCCTCATACCAAAAAACAAAAATAAAAAACCAACAGAACAAAAATCAAGCTCCAACCCAGGTTGAGCAACCTGCCAGGTAGTACTTAACTTAGTGAGGATGTAACTCAAAATTTCAAAAAGGACTGGGAATGTAGCTCAGTACAGAGGCCCTGGATTCCATCCCCAGTACCTAAATAAATAAATAAATAAATAAATAATAAAATAAAAAGAATTTCAAGAGAGCAATAGCAAAGCATTCGACCAAGTCTGGGCCCTTTCTGAGTACAGGGCCACAAGTGACTGCAGAGTGCCCAGACCTACAAAGTTGGTCCTGCCAGTGTCACAATTTCAGGGAAGGTCCTCTCAAACTAAATCTCCAGAGGTCAGCTCACAGATTAGTGCCCTAGATTTGGAGGGAAGAAGGAGGGGGCTAAGGAAAGTTTCAGGATTGTATTTCCGGCTGGGCGTGGTGGCACACACCTGTAATCCCAGCACTTGGGAGGCTGAGGCAGGAGGATTGCTGTGGGTTCAAGACCAGCCTGGGCTACAAAGTGAGCTCAAGACCAATTTGAACTGCATAACGACCCTGTCTCAAAAAGACAAAAAAAAAAAAAGAATAAAAGAGGATTGTATTTCCTTCACTATTCCCAACATCCTCGCTTCCCATCCCCAGGATGGACCACCTCATAGCAGCAGTCCAGTTTTCCTTCTTGTCCCCTGGCCTAAGGACAGACATGCTCCTGGGACACCACTCCTGGGAAGGGCTAGCCTGTCCCCCAGCTGCAGCCACATCCTGCCTCCTGGATTAATGATTGTTCAGCTCTGCTACCTTTCTTTGCCAGCTGTACAGAGCAGCGGAGGGAGCTGATTTCCCAGCAGTCCCTGTGGGCAGGGCCCAAAGTCCAACCTGGAGCCAGGCTGTCAGCTGATCCAGCAGGAAGTTGCCATCGTGTCCCCAGGGAGGAACCAGCAATAACTGGGCTTGGGGAAGCAGCCCATAGGCCTTCCAACTTTGCCCCACTGTTGTAGCAGAGCCCAGAACCACACCAGTGTTGCCGTCAAACAACCCCAAACTGCTTGGAAGACCTGCCTCCCACAGGTACCAGCTTTGCCCCCTGCTTGGCCCGCCGCCTCCCACACAGACTCCACACTTCAGATTGGGCAGCCAGAGCACTCCTTTCACAGGGAAGGCTGGAGAGGGACAGAGAGCCTGCAGGTGGGAGCGCTGTGGTTTCTTTCCCTTCTTAGACCACTTGGAGGGGCTGAAATAGTGGTGAAGGGCAGGTGGCCAGCATTCCTGTGTCCCCTAATCCCTGACTCCTGGCACCTGGGCCTGCCCCGCTAACATTTCAGACAAGCTCCCTGCTGAGGTCTTCTTTCATCCTTCTGGTATCTCTCAGAGTCCGACCCCAGGCCTAATTCCACTTCTCCCACCCCACCGGGTTGAGAGGTGAAGTAATTTGCTGGGGTATTAGTGGTGTTTGGCCAAATCGAGGTGCAGTCTTAGGGGCTCCCAGCTCCAAGTGCCAGCTTCTAGGAAGCCAAGGGAGAGGACAGGAGGAGAAGGTGAGGGAGAAGACAGAGGGGAAGGAGCAGAGGCTGCTGTTGCCACCCTGGGGACCAGGTTGTTTCCCTTCACTCCTTCAAGAGCTTCTTCTGAGCACCAGCTCTGCCTTCCAGGCTTCCAGAAAGACTAATCACAGATAACCAATGGTCCCCCTGTCATTCCCTTTGCCGAACTCAGTGTGGAAAATGGTTACCTAAGTGTTAGCTTCTAGGCCCAGCTACTTGGGAGGCGTGAGAGGATCACGAAAGCACATGAGTTTTAGATCAGCCTGAGCAACACAGTGTGACACTATCTCAAAAAAAAAGAAAGGAGCTGGGGGTTTATCTCAGTGGCACAGCGCCTGCCTGGCAAGCACGAGGTTGTGAATTCAATTCCCGTTACCGGAAATAAAACAAAACAAAAACAAACAAAAAAATAGGGCCAGGGATATAGCTCAGTGGCACAGCACCTGCCTGGCAAGCGCAAGGTTGTGAGTTTGATTCCTGGTACCAAAATAAATAAATAAATAAAAATTTAAAAATAAAATAAAAATCTCTACTCACTTCAGTAGGACAGATACTATAATTGGAACAATATAGAGAAGATTAGTGTAGCCTCTGCACAAGGACAACACCCAAATTCATGAAGTGTTCCATATTTTTAAAAATTTATTTTAACAGTGGGACTTCTTTTTCCTTCCTCAAACAAAATCCTGACAGATAAAACTCATAAAACCAATATTTTATAAGGATAAGTTTAATTTATAAATCAAAACTTGATTACCTTTAGTTACTATGAAGTAAATCAGGGTTGGGATCAGTGGTGACATTTGTTTTGGGGGGGTGGTTCCGGTACTGGGAATCGAACTCACAACCTTGCGCTTGCCAGGCAGGCGCTGTGCCGCTGAGCTAAACCCCTAGTCCCAGTGGTGACATTTTGATGGACTAAAAACTTGAAACCCTATGTTGTAGGGGGTGGTTATGGTTTTAACTGAGTGCCAGGATTCAATTTGTTTGCACAGCGGTGTGTTTTGGTTAGTCGGTAGTTAAGAAATACTGAGTCTCATAAACAAGCAGAGGCAAATAGTTAAGAGCTTTAACAACTTGGTAGAAATGCTGGAAGCTTTATCCTGAGGTCTGTACAGAAACAAAACAAGTATGAAGTTGTTTGCCAAGGGCTTGGGATGTATCTCAGTGCCAAGGCCCTGGGTTCAATCCCCAGATCCGGAAAAACAAAACAAAACAAAGCACAGAGCCAAATTGTACAAGGAGGCACTAAAGGAGCCCTGCAGAGGCTGAAATAGGAGGATCACAAGTTTGAGCCCAGCCTGGGCAACTTAGTGACTTAG